ACATGTAAAATAATGCTCATTCCAATATTATTTATAATAGCAAAAGACATGAAAGAATCAATAAAGTCCATCAATAAAGAATAGGTTCAATATATTCTAGCATAGCTATATAACAGAACACAATGATGTTATGGAAATAAATGGCCTAGATTTGTATATGCTAAAATGTAAATAATACGTATGTAGAATATACATAATACAATACAGAAAATAATATATATAGCATGTGCCAATTGAGATAACAATGAATATGCACATTTGTATATATTTGTCTATGCAAAAAATGTTTCTGAAGAGCTACCTTTGAAACAGAAAAGAGTGGTTGTTCTAGGATAGGACAGAAAAACTGGGGTTGGTGACACTAACAGATTTTTCATTATTTTATAGTGTTTGATTTTTTTTTACATATGACCTGCCTTGATTTTGTAATAAACATTATTTAAAGGAAAAATAAAATGTGGCATGAGAAGTACTACAAGTACTACATACTATGAGGCAAGGAGGAAAATGGCAACTCAAAGGAGGTTTATTTAAACAAGAAAAACTCAAGTAGTGAACTCTGAGTTTAGATTTTAAAGACAACTCGGATTTAGGTGATTGAAGGGGGGATAATGCATGCAGAGAAGGGGAGTAGAACATGGAGGTTAAGGGAATACTCACTCTAAGGAAACCATTAGTAGTTCAAGTTGATGAAGCACAGGGTAGATGTAGCAAACTACTTATCTTAAAAGCCTCATTTCCCCCAAGGACAGATGTGTCAGGATAAAGAGTTAAATTTTATTGTGAGGCAATGGGGAGCAACTCAAAAGTTTAGAAGGATCAGCTTTGCATTTCATATATATCATGATGGTGTTATTGTGGAGAATGGATTGACAAGGGGAAGACAGGGAGGAGATACACTTGAACTAGAAGACTGCTGCAATAACCTAAGGAAGACTCCAATCGGTGACAATGAGGATAAACAGGGGCACGTAAGAAGATATTATGAAGGTAGAATTAAAAGGACTTAGGGCCTTATTTATGAACAAAGGAGTATATGAAGTCTTTTATTACAATTCACTTTTTTGGCTTGGACAACTGAGTAGACAATGGGGCCCTTCACTGTCAGCAAACAAAAATGACACAGATATGTTAGGGAAGAAATGTTTGGTGTCTGGTTGGCAGCTGAATACATGTCTGGAGCACTGGAGAATGATTGAGAAAAGATGTAATTCTCATAAGAATAAAATTTGTAGTTGAAGTCATGGGGATAGTTAAGATAACCATAAGAGAAAGGCTATGGAAGGAACCACAACATATAAGGGGTGGAATATACATAGAAAGCCGCAAAAGAAAGCTGAGAAAGTACTCAGAAAGGTTTTAGGAGTGAGTAGTATCATAGAAGCCAATGGATGACAGTTTCAAGAAGGTGTATACTCTTTCAGATGAATCTAGAAAGACAGGACCTGAAATGTGTCAATGGTATTGAGAAACTAGAGAATTACATACTTTATCATTGTGAGAGAAATACCTAGTTCTTGTTTAAAGGTTAGATCTCGGTTCCACTTGAACTGAAGTTTCTGGGGGTGAGAAAGGAGTATATGCACTTTTTAAAACAAGGTTCCCAGTGAATTGCACCCTCAGATCTGAAAACAACTATAGTAAATTGCAAACTCCTCAAGAACAAGTATCTTATTTGTTTAATTCATGTGTACTTAGTGCTTACTATAGCATCTGATACATAACAGACCCTCAATAAGTATTAAATAATTTAAAGAGGAGATGAATGAATGAATAGATGGACACATTACCAAGCAACTGAATAAAAAAAACTAAAGAACTAATGTCTGCCAAAATTTGGCAAGATTATTGGAGCTTACATTCTTATGGGGCACAGAGAGGCAGACAATATATATTTCAACAGATAAGATAGTTTGGAGAGATCTGCTTTAGCTGGAGTAGTCAGAGAGAGCTTCTCTGAGGAGATGGTATTTGAGCTCTCATTTAAATTATGAGAAGGTGTTAACCATGTGACAGTCTACAGAAACAGCATTTCAGGCAGAAGAAAGTCCTAGGGAGAAAAAGGGTGAATAAAGTGTGTTTAAGTAATAAAGAGGCATATGTGGCTATGGCTGAGTGAATGAGACAGAGACTGATAAAAGATGAGCCTGAAAAGATTAATAGGATGCTGATCATACAGAGTCTCATAGGTTGTGATCTCATAGGAGTTTGAATGTTTTTCTATTATAATTGCAAAGAGAACCCATTTAAATTTTAAACAAAGTAGTGATATGATTTGATTTACACTTTAAAAATATCATTCTGACATCTGTATAAATAATGGATCACAGCAGGGCAATGGTGGATGTAAACAGACCAGTTAGGTGTTGGTATAGTATTCCAGACAAGAAGTGATTATGGTCTGGTGGTAGCAATAGAGTTGGTGAGAAGTGCTTGGATTTAGGATATATTCTGGAAAAAAAGCAGATAAAATCATGTTCATGGGTTAGGTATAGAAAGCAAAGGAAAGAGGAGTCTAAAGAATTTGGATTTTTATTCTGTGGGCAATAGGGACTCACTTAAAGTTTTGAGTGAGTGACATAAT